AGAGAGAGAGAGAGAGAGAGAGAGAGAGAGAGAGAGAGAGAGAGAGAGAGAGAAGAAATAAAAGTGTTTGGGTCTTGTGATTATCAGTTTCCTATCAGCTCAATGGGAATGAGAAAAGTGATTAGTGAGACTCATCTTTGGGTGTGTCTGTGAGAGGAGTTCTAGAGAGAACCTGACCCAAGGATGGTGGATCCTATGTGCTTGGGGCCTGGCCCTGGCATTTCCCTCCCTCTGCTTCCTGATAGTCAATGTGTTATAACCAGCCTCCTCACACCCCTTCAGCCCCATCTCAGGCTACTCCTCCTGCAGGGCCTCCTGCCATGAGAGTGTCCTCTTACATCCTGAGCCAAGACACATTTCTCTTCCTTTAGGTCAGTTCTTGTCAGGCATTTAATCAGGCCAAACAAAAGCATGACCAATGCAGGTCTTCTCAGCCTAGGGTTTGTGACAGTGACAGTATTCCCTCAGGTAAGAAGGCACTGTTTATTTAAAAGCAGTTCAGTTTGTAAGGGTTGTTTCCTTGTTCAGTTCAGTTTGTAAGGGTTGTTTCCTTGTTCAATTAATCAGTTCACTTAATTACCTCAATCAGAGGGTTTGATGACAACAATCGCCACCAACAAAGCATGATTCACAAAAGACCTGCATCTGCTGCTCCTTTGGGGAACATTTGACTCTTCAAGGGGCCCAGCAGAGTCAATGCAAGGATTTTACACCAGTCAGCAGCAAAGGGCTCCCTGCCCTGCTCAGGGCTGCTGAGCTGGAAGTAGGTAAGTGTGGAGGAGCTGGGTGCTCCTTGACCCCACCAGGAGAATGAAGACCTGTGGTGGAAAGCAGGCTGAATGATGGAGACGGAGCCCCTGGATCCATCAGTTCCTGAAGACAAACTATTGGTCTAGTCGGCTGTCAGGCTCCTGATTGGCCTGGTTTGACCTCCGTCATCACTTAAGGATTCCTCATTAAGATGCTACTGTAGGACATAAACTGTCAATCTGAGTACAGTAATGTATTTTCTGGTAATTTAAAAATAGGAGTGTAATTTACATGAGTGCTATTTACGGATCACAAGGGCACACTTGACTGACTTTTGATAAACACTGGCACACTCCCACTGAGACTCCTGTCATTGGACGATCATGGGAACATCTCTTGCATGTCTTCTTCAGGGGCAACTGTGAAACCTCAGTAAAAACCCCCCCAGTCTATCCCCTACAGACAAAGAGAAGCTTAAACCAAGATTCCTAGATGTAGATAAGAACTTAGACCCCTTTTCCCCAGGTGGCTGTATCTGCTACAGGGACTTTGAAAAACACAGAGTCAGGATATTTGACCAAAAGACTAAGAAAGGGAGGCAGGTTGAAATGAATTATATGGTCTGTGCCTTTAAGAGCTAGCCTCACAAAGAAAGGGGAGTGCTCCTTCCAACCTCCCTGCTGCCTCCCTGCAGAGGCTTGTAAACTTAGAATACACCTTGCTTTTGCATTCTGTACCTAAAGTCTCCAGTGGCAGCTTTGGGGATGCAATCTGGGCATAACACAGGCCAGTTTGGGCTATAGAGATCCTGTCTCAAAACCAAATGGGATGGAAATATGGTGGCACATGCCTTTAATCTCAGCACTGGAGATAAAAGACCCAGACACAGTTTCCTCAGAAACCCAAAAGAGCTGAGGAAAGAGATATCTTAAAAATGAGTCAGTTCTCCCTTCCTGGAGAGGGTAAAGACAGGTGTTTTCAAAAGAACAAAGTCAGGATGTTTGGTGGTAACTGATTAACTATGAGATGCCCCTCTCCAGAGATAACATGACCAGACCCCAGAGATGAGTTGTAAAACTCCTGACAGGGCAAACAGATAAGGTAAAATAAGACAAAGTCCAGGCCCAGGAAAAACTGGACCAATCAAGGATGGACCTGTACTAACCCCTCTAAGAAATTTTATGGGTTTAGCCTATAAAAACTAACTTCCCCAAGAAAGAGTAACACCTCCCTGCCTCATTGTGCTGAGGCCAGTGAATGCTTGAGATGAGTTCCCTGTCATGACTTGTAACAACAGATAAACCTTGCTTTTGCATTCTGGTATACCCCTCCTTGGTGGTCTCTCTGGGGGTTACAATCTGGGCACAACACAACCATGTTAGACTTTCTTTACCAGAGTAGCGTTCTTTGTTCTGGAACTTTCTATCAGTGTAGCCAGACAGCATGATCTCTTTTGTGTCCTCCTTGTTCTACCAGGCAGATGTTTTTGTTTGGTTGGTTGTTTTTAGAGGGTTTTGGGGAATGGGATAGGTCATGCTGTGCGGCCCAGGCTCCTGAGTGCTAGAATTACAGGAATGTCGGGGACTTGGCATTTTTCTTTCCCATTCCTTCACCCTGGGCTGAAATTCCATTTTTGGGTCCTCCTGAGAGGTCAGCATCACCCACCATCCATGTACCCGAGCTTGGGAAGAGTGGAGTGGGGAGGGGCGGGACTGGTGGCCTTCTGAGCAGTGTTGGTGAGCAAAACCTGACCAGAAACACTCCCTGGCCTGCCTGCCAGAAGAAAGATCGCTTACAGCTACAAAAGGGCAAGGCGAGGTTTGAAACAACACATCGAAAGCCCTGCTTTTGAATTTTAAAAAGTCTTTGCATCTAAGTTGACACCTGACTCAAAATGGAATTTTCTGAAGAGCGCAGGAAGCTATTAGTTGTGACTCACCCATGAATCCTAGCACTGCGTGGGCTGCCGTCGTTGCTCAGCGGGGATGAGGAATGGGGCTGAGCCTGCTGTTTAGGAACCTCTCATTCATGAAGATCAAGCCGTGTTTCTGGACCTGCAACCTTCCTTCTCTGGCAGATCCTTCAGCCAAAGCCCTTGAGGTTAAAGAGCCAAGAAAAGATCATTAGGATTCTCTGGGAAGCTGGAGGGGGCAGCTCTATGTGGAGAGAGAGAGAG